CCCCAAAACCCCAAAACCCCAAAACCCCAAAACCCCAAAACCCCAAAACCCCGTACGATTAAAGAAATACTGAAATTATAAATAATTAATTGATTCATTGATCTTATTAGCCAGTGTGAGAGCATGTTTGGTATTTTTCACCGCATATGTAGCAGAATTCGTATCCACATCGGCAGGTGATGTGGTTGCATCCTTCTGATTTCTCAACCCAGAACCTGCATTTGGTGCATCGTTGGAACAGTGACCCTCTTATTACTTTTATCACATCATAATCTTCTGGAGAGCTCTCCTTGATTTCTTTGAGCTCTTCTCAGGTTAGACCTTGATGCCATTTTTCTTTGCACTTTAAACAATATGTCTCCGAGCACATTTTACAATCATGCTTGTATGGCCCAGTCGTGATGTCTCATTCGAAGACATATTGGCAGTCAGGGGTAGGACAGAAGTGGTAGAGGTCTGGGTTTTGTTCAACAAAATGTTCAAACTCAAACCTTTCATATTTCTGATACAACTTTTCATCACAGACTTCTCTAATGTCGGACTCTGGAAGTTTCTTCATACAGCCAAGAGAAGGGCAGTTGATAGGGAAAGCCTTGACTTCTACCTTCGACCTAATGTACATCTCGAAGCACTCAGCGTGATACATGTGGCCACACTCAGTCAGTACTAAGTCTTTGATTTCGATGCTGTCATAACAAATGGGACAGTCTGAGAAATTTCTGTTTGAATCATTATTGAATGTAGGAGTTTCTGTAACTCCAACTTTTTCTTCTTCTTTCGAACTCTTCATTAAGGCAGGAGATTGGGCCTTCATTAGGACAGGTTCCTTCTCCTCTTCCATAGAAGACTCTTTTGTGCATTCTGCGGCTGAATTTGCCTCATTATAGAAACTTCTGACTAGACGGATGGCTTCTTGGACTCTCTTAATTTTTTCTTTTCCCTTAGTTTCAGCCATCTTGCTTTCAGTCTTTCTGTTATCTGAGGTTTCAAGGATGGCCTTTTCGTGATGGATCTTGGCATTTAAGGTCTTTTGAGGAGAAACCGCAGGAGACTTCTCAATCCTCTTCTTCATATTAGATTTAGTAGGCTTGCGAGACTTGAGTCTTGAGGAAAATGTTGGTTTTGACAGATCTTTTGAAAGACCCAGAGTTTTCTTGTGAATGCTCTTTTCAACTCTCTTAGTTGAAGGCTCCTTTGAGTGAAGGATTCTTGATTCTTCCCTTAGGTAGGATAGCCTGAAGATGTCTTGTACTCTAACTTGGCAGCTTAGGTGTCTCAATATACGAGAGGTCTCAGCTTTTGTGCAATGGGTGAGCTTTGATTGAATTATTGTGGTGATTTCCAGAATTTTTTCTAGTTTGGTCTGCTTTCTGAATTTAGAATACAACGTTCCCATAATAAACATGAGAGTCGTATCATAGTCTCTTCACTCTTCTTGCATAGAGCCAATCAACTTGTCATAAGGTGACGAGAATTTGCTGTGTAATACATTTGAGTATAGCATTGAGCTTTGTTTTTGGAATTAATTAAATGATGTCAGTTCAACTGGTTTATGTACCCTCGGGGTTTTGGGGTTTTGGGGTTTTGGGGTTTTGGGG